GCGTTGAGGGTTAGCGTGTCAGGTCAGTCCGACCAGCAAGCCGCCTACAGGCCGGGTATATCGAGCTCTGGGTGCCAGGGAGGGTCTCAACTTCACCCACTCCAGGGTTAAAAGGAAGCGTTGGGTAGATCTGTTGCTGGTACTAGAGTGAAAATGAGTTCTGTTTCAGGTCAGGCCCACTGGAGCCATTTGATATTGGCAGTCAAGACCTAGACCCTTTGGGGTAAGTCAATCCCTTATTTCAACGATTTTCTTTTTTACAATTCATCTAGAGCAGTGTCCCTCAACCTCAGCAACTTTAAGATGTGTGGACTAACTCACAGAATTCCCAGGGCTGGCTGAGGAATTCTGGGAGTTGAAGTCCACACATTTTAAAGTTGCCAAGGTCTGATCTTGTCAGGTGTAGCCCAAAGAATTCCAAGAGACAATGCAAATTCAGTTCTGTGTTTATTAGCTTCAACCTCTATCTCCCCAGACTGAACCCTAGCTCCCAAGCCAGCCAGCCACAACACCGTGAATTCCTTAGGGGGGCACCAGTCTCATCCTCTTGAACTTCCCACACTCTTGCAGTGAACTAAGAACACACTTATCTCGCTGAGCCTGGCCTTCATAAGTCCATTCCATCACAGATCTGTAGACTTCCCAACGCTGGTGTCCTCCAGATACGTGGGGTTCCAGCTCCTATTTTCTCCAACCAGCCTGGGAGGCCCCGATCAGACGTTGGGTGTGGAAGTCCTGTGCAAGGAAGCAGTAGGCCAAAAGCAGAGCCAAGTGAGGGGGTCCAGTTGCGCAAGTTGATTTGTACTTGATTATCTTCTGTAGGCACGTGAAGAGAACAGGGCAGAAAACCAAGTCTAATCCTTAAAAAAGAAAAATTAAAAACTACCTTGTGGCAGTGAGTTCCATAAGGTGGATGTATGTAAAGAGGTTTGTCCTTTCATCAGTCCTGACCTGCTGACCACCTTGGTGGACTAACCCAGAAGCTTTGAAAGGGGGAGAATCTTCCCTGCTTCCTTGGGTGGATTAGCGACAAATCCATCATTGTCCTGATCTGAGATCTGCATTCACACGTGATTCTCTTCCTCAGGGGTCGAGGAGGGGGAATGATCTTTGACCCGCTTCGATCAGGATTTCGGAATCCGGTTCTTGACCCCTCTTCCGGGCTCCCCAGCAGACTCCCCCCTGGTTCCGTTCCTCCAGGGGCCAGGTTTGACCCGTTTGGACCCCCAGGGGCCAGCCGGGGCAGGTGAGTATTGAGGAGACACTGCCACGTGGGTTGCTGGAAAACTGAATCTGCAAAATGTATTTCTTCCGCACTTGCTGAGAATCCCCAACACATTGATGCACGGGTGGTGCATCTTCTGCTCAGGGCATTGGACCATGGGACCTAAATTTCCCATGGTCCCTCAGTTGCCAGAAAATGCCAGCCCCCAGAGGGAAATGTTCACATGACTTTAGAAATTTGGATGGGAGAAAAACAGGGGAGTTGTGCTGGTGCCATACTGAGCCTGTCATAAGCTGGGTCACCGTTTGGCCTGGTCGTGGACCAAGCATAAAAGCATCCCACCCAAACTGAGAAACTTTGCAAACACCCTGATTCCAAATTTCTCTAGGATTGGAGAGCTGTAGAAATCACAATAAAATAATAAACACTCTGAAACCATGACCATGTCATTGAAAGGCCACTTGCTGTCCATGTTTTGGAAGCAAAAACCCACTGAAAAAGTACAGGGTGTTGTCTTCTGGAACTGCCGGACAAGACGGGGTCACAGTTACCTTGGGGGGCAGCATGTTCCGTACTGTGGGGGCCACCACGGGGCAGGCCTGCTTCCTGGTCCCTGCACACCCTCTCTCACTGTCCCAGTAGGACGGGGAGAATCCTACTGAGCAAGGAGCCCCTGGGATAACCCCCTGCCACGTTGGCTCTTAGAGGTCATACCCAGCACTCAGAACTGGGACCCCGAACCTACTGACAAGCAGGGAAGGGGCCACAGACGAGGCACAGCTCTGTGAGAACAGGCTTTCCTACTAGCTAGTGCATTCTCTACCAGTTGCAGCTTCTCAGTCTTCAAAGGCAGCCCCACATTATGGGAGTTACAGTAGTCTAGGCTGCCAGTGATGAGGACATGAGTCACTCTTGTACGTTTCCTGAGCCAGGGACCAATTGGCCTATCAGGGAACTGGGCAAAGACCCTCCTCCCCACAGCCACAGCCTCTACCTCCTGTTCCATTATCACAATGTTACGTTCTTATTAAACTGATACGCAACCAGGTAAGGGCTATAGTTCTGATGATAAGGGTGGGAGTTCCCACCGCTAAGCCTTCCTGGTTCCTTAATCCTAGAATTAATTTTAATTGCAGAATTAAACTTAAACCATTCTCCGTTCCTCTTTCAGGCCTAACCCTGACCACCTTCGCCCTCCCGACTACGACGATATGTTCATGTGACAACGGCCAGGCTTCCTCGCCTCTTTCCTGGCTGACCGACGCCTGACACTTACCCAGACGTGGGGGAGACTTGGCCTTTCCTGCAGTGATTTCCTTTCCTGCCCCGCTACTGCTTGGTCCCCCCACTATAAACCAGAAGAGGCAACGGCACGCAGTTGACCTTTCAGCCTCTGCCTTTCTGTCTTTTTTCCCCCAGAGTGTTACTTTCGCTCCTTTACCGGACTTAAGTCCAGTGAAGCACAGCTGTGTGCTCCGAGAACAGCTGCTGTGGCCTTGAAAGAGTAGAGTTTTCAAAAGCTGGGAGCAAAGGAACCCTTCGGTGAAGGTTCTGTATATATCAGGACTGGCCAGCCAGTTCAGGATTAAATTGAACCAGTTTGAAACTAGACGTTTTAGAGCTAGATAAAGGTAGATCAGCCACCAGTGCCCTCCTGCCTTCTGTTTTCAGCTCCTTCCCATTTATCGCTGAAGCCAGCGGTCCTCTCGTGTGGTTTCGCCGCATGCTGCCAAAATGGCAGTGGGGGTGTGATCGAGCCAGCTGGCCCTCGGCCGCCTCCATTTTTTCCCCTTACTAGAGAAGCACAGCCTCAATTTCATGGAGTGTGGAGAAACTGAAATGAGAACTAGGAGGCGCCCAGATACCAATGAAAGGGCTGAGGAATCCTCCTTGATCTGGAGACCAACTGCTAACAGGCAGTATTTGGCCCAGGGCTGCCAGCTGCCGACTTGCTTTTGGGAGTTGACATGGTGGCTTGGTAGAAGAGCTGCTTTAGTAAGGATAAAACTTTGAGCAGAGTCCCGTCTGCAGACATCAGACAACCACACACACACACACACACACACACACACAAAGCTGTCCCAACTGAATTGGTTTTGATGGTGGGCAAAGCTGCCACCCTTGGTGCCACCCTCAACCTGGAAGTGCTCCTCCTGTATCACCGGTGTCTCCGTTACGGGTTGCAACTAATAGCCGCCTTAAAAAAAATAATAAAATGAACAACGAACCTCAGTCTGCACTCTCTCAAAACAAATTCTCCATCTTTCCTGCCAAAATCCTTTTCTTCAACTGCAAAAGCAGCTAATCCCTGTTTCCTGGCAGTCATTTGAGTTCTCTGGGGAAGATGTACATCTCTGGTAATGGCTCGCCAACCGCCGAAGGGCTGCCTGATATTTCCCGGGGGAGCTAGATGTTGAAGGAGGTATAGTTGGTGGCGAGGTTTTCTCCTTGCCATGCACCTCAAGGAGACCGCAGAGGCTCTCCTTGGTTGCAAGGGTCTGAGACAACCCTGCCATTTGAGAGCAGGTCAGCCTCTGCAGCCAGGTTGTGGGAAGGTTGGTCCTGCCTTGCCAGAGCCGTCATCTTCCAGATGTGCTGGGCTACAAGCTCCATTATCCACAGACGGGGCGTTATTCATGTCTCACAAGTGCCCAGGTTGGTGAAAGAAAAATAATCCAGAGAGATCCTGGGCGTATTTAGTTTTGTTTTTATTTATTTAGAGAAAATTAACTCATCCAATTGACCAAATCTGCGCACACAACTGGGAGCCTGGTTGCTAATATGCGACATCATGCTGGCTAGGGAATTCTGGGAGTTGAAGTCCACGTATCTTAAAATTGCCAAGGTTGAAAAACACTGCTCTATGCCGCAAATTCTATATCTTTTCCAGACAATTCCAATATTGACTTCAGAAGCACCCTTTAA